TTTTCTTTAAATATGTGTCAATACATTAACTGATCGATGACTCTATAAGAAAACCATCCGATTATTTTATAAAAATTTTGTTCTCTAAAAATGAAAGTGTTAGGCAACCCATCCCAATTCACGACAACGGATAGAATAGAACCACCCGTTCCAATGGCAGAACATATCATCTCATTTTTCTCCCACCCCATTATGTGCTGATAAATCCACAGCTTTAATTTATTCCCTCCAATCTCCATAGCTCAACCGATCTGACCTGCGTGAGAGAATGCTGACGATGGAAGCTCACTCCGCCGCCGCCGCCGCCGCCCGCTTCTCCGTCGCCAGCATCCACTCATCTACTAGTTTCCTCTCACACTCATCCGCCCTTTTCATCCCGCGGTACTCGATTGGATTTCCATTATATATCACTGTGTGGAAATTAGGTTCAGCTCTGCAAATGGCAGTGTGAAAATGCAGATTTTATGGCTCATGTCGTTTTTTTGTTTGAATTTATGTATGGATTTGCGAAATAGGATTTACAGGAGGTTCGCTGGTAGGTTGAAGAGTGCAAATGGATATAGAGCTTTTGGTTCGGAGCCAGCTCCGGTGAAGCCGGATGCAAAGGCACAATGGTATCATCCATTAGAAGAAATTTCTGAGCCACGGTTTTTTAAGAATGGCGAAGCTAAACTCACGCGTGCCGAGATTTCTAGAACGATAATCGAGGTATAATTATCCAGATTCAATGTGTGTGTTTTAGCAGCAGCTGAGATTGATGAGCTTGTTGCCTGTCAAATGATGTTTATAATGTGAAACAAATAGTAGTTAATTGTGAAGTGATAGAGAAATATTGAAATAATGATGGTAGTTATAAATATGTGAATGAGTGAATGAATGAATGAATGGATAGTGGATTATATTGAAAATTGTCTACCGATTGATTCTCATTACAAAAATTGTAACAAGAAGATGTGTAATGATTGGTTCTGTTCAAGCTAAATGATATCCAGTCACAAAATAATTGTTGAAAAATTTTTGCATGAAGGATTCTTTTTTCTTTTAGGTGAATAGCAAGGCCACACTGATGTTTTCTGGTCTGATCGATGAAGAATTTCGTGATGACATATTCTGGCCGGACTTACCTTATGTGACTGATGAACATGGCAGTAAGATACATTTTTCTTGTATTCTTATTTGATATAGTTATTTTGTCATTATTAAGTTCCGTTCCCTTATGGACAGATATTTACGTCCGAGTGAAGACTGACGAAGATATCTTGAAAACCCTTACATCCGAGGAAATCGTTGTGGTAAGAACAATTGTAATGTACACTTATCATGAGTAGTTTAATTATTTTTTTTTTGAAATGTGTTGTCCTCCTTTTGTTTT